ATCTCCTTAAACCATACTCACCACCTAAAGGCAATAACAAGATCACAATTTTACCTAACATGATGCAACTATCATACATTCAACTGAAAGCACACTAATCCCTTCCATGGAAGAAATGATAAAATTCTTGAGTAAGTTTACTTTTCTCCTTGATATTTTTTGACTTAAAAACTATTTAAATACTCTGATATAAAATAAACAATACTTAAATATTATGATGTAAGTCAATACATCTTATGTTACATGATAAGGTAATATGAAAAGGAAGAAAACAAAGATATTTGAGATACAAGCACACACAACTCTATTCATAACAAAATAAGAAGAAAACACTCATAACAATAACAGATATTGGTTCTGTAACTGGTCACATGGTCATAGCTGGTATATATAGCTACTTTCTCCCATCATCCATTCTGTAACCCCTTTGCCTTTAGCAAGCACTTCAGCTAGTACTGGTTTTTTGCCTGATATGGTGACCCAAATCTTCAGTTCTGAAGAGTCTGTGCCATTAGTAGTCCTGCCTGAATTGGGCTGTTGTGGTTTTCCATTGACCTAATCAGGAGGCATAGTAATACGAAGAAATGCCCTAAGGCATCTCCTGTATTCTTGACAAACTCTTTCTTTCCTCCATTCCTGAGTAGCAATAGTCCAATTTACATTCAATAGTCTAATAGTCTATACACCAGTTTACATACCCATTTCCACCCCTTGATTTCCACTCAGGACTCAAGGGGTAGAAACAGAAGTGGCACCACTCACCATTACCCTTAGTTAACCACTAGCAAAATTGAACTATTAAGTCCAATTTACGCTTAATAGTCTGGATCAGTTATCCCAGCCAACACTGCACCTGCCTTCTTGTCCTATTGATTCAGAGACATGAAGATTCCAAAGCGGCTGGGTGGCAGTCTTAACTTCCAGTTCAATAGAATCATTGTGTCCCCTGGTGGAAGCATTCCTCCCTCTGGGACTAACACCTCTAGGCTAGCAGAGAGTAAGGTTGCAGGAAAAGAAAGAAAACCTTTCGTTAGTGGGTCACATAGGGTAATGGTGAGTGGTACCACTCCCATTTCCGCCCCTTGATTTCTGGACTTGTGAATACTATCTGAGAATCAGCATTATCTGTTGTACACTGATTGTGAGCATATACAGCTTTTGGGAAAATCTTTTCCCAGCCCTGCAAGATATTGACCCCTAACTGGCACTATAAGCGACCCTTCAAAAGACTACGTCGCCGTTCTCTCAAGTCAGCTGATTCAGGATGCAGAGGAACGTGGTAATCCAGTAAATTCCCACAAGCATGGGCCCATTGCAGGACTTTTCTTGCTGTGAAGGGAGTTCCTTGATCAGCAGTAATGCTGTGTGGAATATCATGATGGTGGATAAAGCATTTTGTAAGTCCATGGATGGTACTTTTGGCAGAAGCATAACATGCAGGGAAGGCAAATCTGTATCCAAAGTGTCTATTTCAGTAAAGACAAAACACTGCCTCTTCCAAGATAGAAGCACTCCAATGTAATCAACTTGACATCAGGTAGATGGCTCATCACCCCATAGAATGGTGCTATATCAGGTGCTCAGTGTTGGTCTCTACTGCTGACAGATTAGGCACTCGGCAATGGCAGTAACCAGGTCAGCCTTGGTGAATGAAAGTCCATATTGCTGAGCCCGTTTAACCTCTATCCCTGCCACCATGGCCACTTTGTTCATGAGCTCATTGGGCAGTAACTGGGGTGGGTGGGGAAAGAGGCTGACTGGTAATCATAGGACAGGCCATTCTGTCTGTTTGATTGTTAAAATGCTTCTCTGCTGTTGTGCTATTTTCTGAATGTTTGTGTGCCCCTAAAATTTATATATTGAAATCCTATCTCCAAGGATATGATATTAGGAGGTAAGATCTTTGGGGAGGTGGTTAAGTCATAAGGGTAGAAGCATCATGAATGGGACTAGTGCCCTTATAATAAGGCTCCAGAGAGCTGCTTTGCCCCTTTCACCATGAGAGGGCACAGTAACAAGGCACTATCTATGAAAGAGGCCCTCACCAGCACTAAATCTGTTGGTACCTTGATCCTGAAACTCCGCCTCCAGAACCGTGAGAATAAATTTGCTGTTTAGAAGCTACCCAGTCTATGGTATTTTGTTAGAGCAGCCCCAATGGAGTAAGACATGTGATCAACCGTGACCGAGCATTCACATAAGACACAAATATCTTCACACTTTTTTCCCATTCAGAGAGGCCTTTCCACACACTTCTTTCCAAATTTCCTTGTTACAGGGTTCTCTTTACAAATTTATTTCTCATAGTATTAGTGAAA